TCTCACACACACACACACATATACACTCACACACTCTCTCTCCCACACACGCACACAAACACACACGCAAACACATACAAACACACACACACACACACACACACACACACACACACACACACATACACGAAAAGAAGCTGAAAGCGGCTGTTTTTACAGGTGGTTGTCTTATTATACAGGTGGCCGCTAGAGCAAGTTCGACTGGATTTTAATTTTGCTGACAAAAAAAAGCAACAACGAAAACATTGATAATATACAGCATCTTATCTGATTAAGTTAACCCTATCCGTACGCCCTGGGGTCATTTTGTACCCCCGGGGTTGTATTCTTCACATTTTCAGAATACTCCTAGTACGAATATCTCTTTTGAAACTTTCTGGGGTTTTTTATATATATTTATTTTGACAGACTGCCATGCAGAGCGTGCGGATCGGATTAACCAGTAAATTTCCTCTTTGGAAAGTAGAGGTCCAGAGTTCACCACATCGTATGGATACGATAGTAAAACACGACGCACGGGTGTATTTTAAAGACCGTATTTCTCTCCTTAGTCATTTACCCAACGTCGTTTCATGACACGGACAACTCAAAGTAAGGCCAGGGGGGGGGGGGGGGGGGGCAGGCTCTAGTGGTCGAGAAGTTACTGTGTTCGCTTCTCATTCAATAGGTCCAGGGTTCGAATCCGGGGAAACATAATTTTCTTTTTTTTAATGTTCTCCTTTCACCTCCTTTCCAAATCCCTAATCATGTTCTGTCGTCTGCTTTCTTCACACTCTCTGCCTCCTCCCCCTCACACACATACACACACACATGCACACACATCCCTCCCCCTCCCCCTCCCCCTCCCCCTTTGCCCTTATTCTGGGCTCCTGTCTCTTTCTGCAGTCTTTCTATTGCTACTCCTTGGCTCCTTCTTACTTACTGCTGTCTTTCAGCCTCACTCCTGATTTTATGGCAGGTAAAATTTGACACATAGCCTTCTCGGATAAGGGTGGAAAATGCCGGAGGTCCCGTGTGCAAGTTGCGTGCATTGAAACTTAAATATTCCTCGGTGGTCCAAAATCGATAAGAGTAGGCTTCGGCCACCACCCGAGCAAAATTCAAAATTTTCTACAAACTGAAAATTTTTAGAATCTAATGTGTCCAGGGCCATCCGTTCTGTAGTCTAACACGATACTAAATGAGCTAACACAGTGCACCTACAATATGTATGAAAACACTGAGAACAAAGAAACGAAAATTTATCTTCAGCTGAGAAAAAAAAATAGAAGTAAAAAGAATATATTGTTTCGTAATATTTGACATATAAAAAAAAGACGTGGAACACAAACGCAAAGTTGAATGTAAAGAAATATAAAAAAAGAAAGAAAGAATTATGAATCAATGACTTGCTTGGGGTACCATACTTTCCCATGCCAGCTGAGGACCCCCTTCCTACGCACTGACCGTTACTGGTCCTTCTGCTGCCCCGTGTCCGAGAATCCAGACATTCCCCCAAATCAATTCCCAGTCCAATAATTGCAGTCCCTCTAGAATATTCCCCGCATTCCTCTCTCACTGCTTTTCCTCGGTCCCCAACTGTCCACCCCCCTCTCTCTCTCTCTCTCTCTCTCTCTCTCTCTCTCTCTTCCTTCCTTCCTTCCTTCTCCCTCCCCCGCCCCTTTTCCCTCTATTTTCTCCCTGCGATGTATCGCCTAAGCTCCACCCACTCCGCTGTGCTTTTCTACGATGGAGAGAACTTTCCAGAAGTGATGGATTCATGACAAGATTCCTACGTCCTGGGTCTGTCAATGAAATTAAGAATGCTTTTATAGAGACACGCTAGTGTACACGAGAGCAAGCACGCATGCACTAACACACACGCACATAAACATACAAACACACATACACTCACGCGCGCACACACACACACACACACACACACACACACACAC